TGTTTATTTTCAAACATAAATTTAAGTAGAAAGCTGGAGGCATATGCATCAGCTTTTTGCGCTACAGACCGTGATCTTGAGAACACAGGAGTAATTATATTCCTCTGGAAGCGCAACGTCAACAAGCTTTTCATACCGAAAGTACCATGAATTGTGGTACACTTCAATGACATGAAATATCTCTCATTTGTTTGTGACTTTACAGGGCAAAAATATTCAGCTGCGTGAATTGTGTGATCCCAAAGACAAATACAGCCGTACAGTTCACTCTGATTTAGGTTCTTGCATTTATCAACTTTTTCGTTCATTCACTGCTATGTATATTTTAGTTTCTCATATGAATATAGGGCGCGCAAGTTACCAAGGTAGTACGTTCTAGTACAACTAAAGAAGCAATATATTAAGAGAAATATGTGCGATAATGCATATATATATATATATATATATATATATATATATATATATATATAATTTGCCGTGGGCAGGTTTGGTTCCTATCTACGGCTAATTATCTTTCCACCTACTCTTCTCTCTTTACATTTACATTACGATTCCGCAAAATAACTTTAGCTATAGTTTCCTCGGCATTACTGTCTGTTAGATCTCATAATTATTGTGTCAAACACAAAAAAACGAGCCGTTAAGTGTACACTTCTTGCCTTATTTATTAACGAGAGTCTTGTACTGGCAGACGGGGTGCCTTTAGGCTGTATACGAGGGACTATTGTTCAGCTGCGAGCTCAAAATATGTTCACGTGCTACGTGACGCCAAACAGGCTCGTAAAGAGTGTGCCACACTCGCCGCCATGACTACTGGTGTCGCTGACTGACACTCCCACGTTTAAATTCACATATATACCCAATAAAGTGGCTGGGGGGATAGCCGCCGTGGTAGCTCAGTGGTAGAGCATCAAACGCGTTGTTCGAAGGTCGCAAGTTTGGTTCCTGCCCACGGCAAGTTATGTTTACACCCACTTTCCTTTTTTTCATTTACATTACAATTAGGCCTAATACTTCCCCTATACTTTCTTCGACATTATTTTCTGGTATAGCCATTGAGGGTATATATATATATATTATATATATATATATATATATATATATATATATATATATATATATATATATAGAGAGAGAGAGAGAGAGAGAGAGAGAGAGAGAGAGAAAGAGGTTGTCCCAATTATTACGCAGCCCAGTTTCAAAAAAGAGGTATGGCGTTACGCGAACAAAACCTAGTGCATATTGTTACCAGTATAGCGTAGTAACCACTGCTAGCTTTTTGTTAATGAGAATCGTTATATTAGGGACTATTACACTTGTAACCCAAAGATTATTTGCCTATAACTTTAAATTTTGTTGAGGCAGATGTACGCATGTTGAAGCGACTTCTGTCTGCGCTACTTTCAACAAAAAACGCACTGATTGCGCGCAAATGTTTTTACGTTGATAAAGAAAGCCTTCGAAATATAGAAATAGCACGCAGCTCGACTTCTGCACGCATCTGGAAGCAGTTCCATCAAACAAGCTCACTTGTGTTGGCAAGTATCAAAGTACAAAATGTAGGGAAAAAACATGGATTCCGATATGTGCCACTTCCCATCTGAAGAAACGCCCCACTGGGATGATAACCAGGCTATAATCAGAACAGTGTTACAGCCGCTTTATCAATGAAAACTGTAGGCTGTGAGAGATCCATAATGAAAAATTGTCCACGTATCTGCATGTTACACTGCAAATGTCGTCGAAAGACGACAGTCTTGCGTCTAGAGGGAGTGAACAAAACGTTTATTTGATGTTCTGCGCAAAAAAAAATTGGTGAATGGTAATCTGGAGGCGCTGCGTTAGAGTGCCTCGAGCGTGCAGCGGAGGCGAACGAGCACATCAAGTCATGTCACACGTGAGACATGAGCGCCATCTGGCAGTTATCTTGGAAAACAAAGTGCGCGCCTGGCGTGCGCACCCGTCTCGGAGGTGATAAAGTGTAGAACGCAAGGCGACGGGTAGGTGCCACCACCATGTCGTCTTAGCAAAGCGTTTGAAACACTTGCCTTTCTTGCAAGCGTTGCATGGTCAGCGCAGCGTAATAAGCGCTACGGTCGTTAGAATTGCTTATGTATGCCTTGCCTAGTAAAAGATATACAAAAATATTGGTGTGTTGTTATGGTGCTTCAGATTTGCACTATAATTGCTTTTTAATCGACAATCGCACAAGTATGAACGCTGAATCTTGAGCAATATTGGTGGGCGCGGCGGATGGGGTCGGCCGTTTGGGGTATCGGCCGGTCACTGCGGTGCTTTTTAGGGTGCCGTGAAGCGTCTACAAAAAGACAGACAGACAGACCAATTTTTTTGCGCCGAAGGCCCCAAGAAAGACTATCGTCTTTAAGTATTACGCTATCGACCGCTAAAGGAGCCATGCGTAGATGCTAAGCAGTGCGCTCTAATGCTTACACTGGCGATGACGTTGACGCTGGCGCTCATCGCCGCGTATTTATCCTCTGGGGAGGCGCAATGAACTGGTGTTTTTTTACTGGAACGTGTCAATCGCTTTTAATGGGCAATGAGAGACACACGACTCCAATAGGTCACAGAGACCCGTGGTCCGCTTACAGTTAGCGCTTTCGCTGCAAAGTTTTATTGTTCAACAGCAACGCACAAGAGAAATCTCCCACTGGCACCACGTTTGAGGTCAACATTCAGTGCCGATATATACGGGGTGGCCAGTGAACGATTGTGGAGCGCAATTAGTCGTTTATTTTTTTTTTTTTTCAATCTCCGAACTAGATAGCAGATGCTGCCTGCGTCGGCGTTTCGAGACAAGATAGGGGGAGCGTAGGAGAGGAGAAAGAAGGAGGGGACGCACATGCACAATGGCGGAGTAAATGCCACGGGGAGGATTGCGCGGAGGAGAGGGGGGTTGAGCATAGGTTAGCAGACGCTCCCTGCGTCGGCATTTCGATGCGAGTGAGGGGAGCGCAGGAGATGAAAGAACCTGCGGACGCGTAGTATGAGTGCGGACGCCGACGCCGCGAGACACGGGCTCGAGCAAGAGACGCTTCGCATCTACTATTGACGCACAATAAAGCAAAATGAATCCCTGCAGGACTGCGACACATGTTGTAGGCACCCGTCCTGTAATCTCGCAAAAGCATAACGCTAGCTCTGGCAACGGAAAAGAGGCAAATCGGTTGCTTGTATTAAGTTAATTTAAGGGAACTACTTCCGTTTGCAGGTGGGCGCACAGCTACGAGGTATTTTTCATTAATTTTTTATTAACGGAGTTTGCTTTTTAGTGGGGGGGGGGGCTTGCTTAATTAACAGGAAAGAATGAGCACACAGTTAGTATGCTGTCGAAAGTAACAGACATGTTGTTTCAACATGCTCACGTCTGCCTCATTGACATCTTCATAATTAGGAAAGTACTTTCGGAGTTACAAATATAATTATGACTACTTATTATGGGCCATGAAGGAGAAATTTAAAATGGCTACTAAAGCATACTGGGAACAATACTCACTAGTTTTCGTTCGTGTAACGTGGTTCCTCTTTTTTTTTTAATCGTGCTGTGTGATATCTGGGACGCCCTGTATATATAGGAGGGTGAAGACACTGTCTTTCTGTGTATGTTATGTGCCTTTCAATGAGATGTCTGCAACATATTAAACCTATCAAAGTTCGCTTCAATTAGTGCATTTTCTTTTCCTTTTTCTGAATTGTGTTTCCAAACGTACGGCAGATCACTTTACCTTGAGTGAGTTTTAAGCCCCGCCACGGTGGTCTAGTGACTAAGGTACTCGGCTGCTGACCCGCAGGTCACGGGATCAAATCCCGGCTGTGGCGGCTGCGTTTCCAATGGAGGCGGAAACGTTGTAGGCCCGTGTACTCAGATTCGGGTGCACGTTAAACAACCCCAGGTGGTCGAAATTTCCGGAGCCCTCCACTACGGTGTCTCTCATAATCATATAGTGGTTTTGTGACGTTAAACCCCACAAATCAATCAATCAAATCAGTTTTAAATGATATATACAATAAGTTAGTTGTGGCGCACTTATGTTGTGGAGTCTCGCTCACACTCGAAGAACAGATGGACGCAGTCCCCATCATAGTACAACGAATACATAGGCATTTCTGAGCACTTTTCCCACAATTACGCTAACGTTCTAGTGTAACTACGCCGCTCTAATCACGAATGCCATGAGGCGAAAAGTAATATACAAAAGATGGCAGCATACCCACAACGTCACTGGTAGGTTTATAACTGACTTTCACGTTCCTGTACTCCTTATGTAATGTTTATCATTTGTTATACATATAGTGCAATATAAAACAAAGCAGGCCCCTAGCCAAGAAGGTGCCATAGCCACCCCCCGACCTCTGGATGAAGGGGGGAGGGTGTTTCACCGAAAGTAAGTAACGAGAACACGAATTTTTCAAAGCCTTTAACAGGTGGACCCTCCCCGAAAAAAAATTTCTGGCTACGCGCTCTCAACGAACATTCAATACAATAAGTGCCGCTTTCTAGCATCCACACTTTTACTAACATCTTTCTAACTGGTTACTGTCCGTCAGTACATTTATGACAAAAAAAGGATCTTGTTTTTGTCGGGTTAGCAGTCTGCATCAGCTAAGCTTGTGATAATTGTACTTGATTATTTTTACCGTCTTTAATTTGTGTGTGGATGTATAAACTATATATTTGAAACCGTGAGGTAAAACACTCAGTTGTTATTCAGCTCTGTTAGCCCTGGCAGTGCTAATCATATATGGATTCTCGTTTTCGTTTGTTTGCCTCGGTGTGAATAGCATAGTAATGGTGTGACACTTGCTCTTATCTCAATCACATTCTGATTGAATTTCAAGTTACACTACGCAGCATATCGCCCTTATGCATTTGATAACCTCTCCATATATTACCAACTCCCTCCTTTATCCCTTTTTTTTCTACTCCACTCTCTATGGCTGGGTTTCAGTTAAGTGCAGCGTGAGTTCGGTCATCGCAGTGGACGCCACTGGAGTCGGTCACGTACTGCGGCTGGACGTGGCCCACAGAGGCCAGCTGGGACGCGGAGCGCGGCGAGTGCGTGTTCGCCTCGTCTGGTCGCAAGCTCTACTACCTGCTGGTCACCGTAGCGCTCTTCTTCCTGCCCGTGGCCATCATGCTGACCGCCTACTCTCTTATCGTGTGGCGCCTGTGGATCACCCAGATGCCCGGAGAGCGCAGTGCTGCAAACATCAACGCCCAATGCCGCGCCAAAAAGAAGGTAACGTCTTCTCGCGATGCGAGCAGCTGGGTGTGGAAAAGCCCAAAGATGTCTGGGGAACGGTTGTGAGCTGTTACGCGTAGTCATTATGCCTGGTCAATCACAGGCGTGGCAAGAGTTTCACGAGATTACACGCGGTGGCTTTATTGTAATGCAAATAGTAGTATTAGATTAGATTAGTAACCTATCATTGATTTACTCCTGTTACGAGAATTTAGCTGCCTCTGAGAACTTGAGTAATAGCACGGAGAAAAACAATGTTTATCTACGCAGATTTATTAAGGTAGTAGCCGTGGCAGTTAGTCTCAGAGACACATCATTGAAAATTATAAGCAACCAGTGTAACTTACAATTCTAACTTAACAAAAGTTGCCTTCCTTGGTGTCTCTGCCATGAACTATGAACAAAAAGAAAAATCTCAACTCATATAATATTCAGAAAGCAATGGAACAATAAATTTTCATTACATATTGCAACGTTCCAAGGGACAGCGTTCAAGCTGCTTTAGCAAGCCAAACGACGTTCATTACTTGTGCCATACAAGTATTCACAGGCCAAATGACGTTGATTACTATGTACGGTGTTTCTCACAACCTGAGTTGCCTTGGGAGAGATAATACCACAAACTGCTCGACTGATCTAGCTCGGTGCAAGCCAGCTAAAAATGTTCTCTATAACTAGAAATGTAGTACACCCTCTAATTTAACGTGCAACACTAGCTAGAACGTCGTGGTTATCAGAGTAGCTTGTAAGGATAAAATATACTGCTATCATTAAGGCTATTGTAAGCGAAGAAATAACACAAACATCAATTAAAGCTGTCATTGCCTTTTTCCGCGGAACCATCGTTTACAGCATTATTAGCGCTAGGAATATCTCGTAAATTACAGCCAGTGAACCTTCCTATACATGAAATAGTAACAAGCTCTTTTTCACGCTTCTACTTATACCTGTATTGGCTAAAACAAAGATGTATACAAAATAACCCGTCAAGGGCGGATGACATTGCGTACTTGATATGCTGAGACCTTGCTTGTTCCGGTGTCCCATGAGGTCAACGAGCGGCTCGGGCAAAATCAATACTTAATGATTTTCCCACACGAACAGAATAACAGAACTGAATCATAAATAGTCTAGCAGCAAAATATTCGCTCTGACCGGTGAGATATGTATAGCAGAGGAAATGGGGTGAACAAGAAGAAAAGCTTCCGGTTTTTTTCCCTACGCTTAGGCATGTGCATCCGCATGATTATACAGCTCCACCCAGATTATACGAAAAACAATAACTGCGGTCCTACATATGCTCTAAGTACACGCGCATCGAGAGCGATAAGAGGGGGGGGGGGGGGGGGGGGGGAGGGGGGGGGGGGGGGGGGGGGAGTGGAATGCGCGTGGTGTCCGCATGAGCTGAGCCCCAGAGCCCTGCAAGGAAAGAACCATTCAAGTAGGTCTAGTGTGTGTTCAAGAAACTCTTGAGGATCTCAACGACGGTGTTAGATTAGGACTGCCTTCCAACTCGCACGGACGCGAAGGCCGGGTTTCTTCTCGGGTGCTCTGTGGCTGCCAGGTTACGGCCTTAGTTATAGCAGGCACACCAAATTTGATTTTCTATAGTTTAATAAACTGAGGTTTGAGTAAGGCGTGGGTCATAACGACGATATAATTGCGGTAGAAGACGTAGTGTGAAACTCCGTAATAATTTTGACGACAAAGGGTTTTTAAACATGCATTTGCTTCTAAGAACACGCATTTCATCCCTATAAATTGTACGCCATGGCCGGCACTCGCACCCATGTCCTCGACGTCATAGCTGGGCAACAATAACGTCAGCCGCTAATCTAACGCGGTGGGTCACGACACTTGGTTTAAAACACTTGTCTATTCACTTAACCTTCACCTAAATCATGGACGTTAGGCAGGCCTTCGCCAACATGGCGCAAAGACTGCTGACTCTTGAGCAAAGGGTACGATACCAAAAACGAATTGTTCGGAGCATTTCTTTTTTTTTTTGTTACTTCAGCGGTAAACTTCACCAAATTGAAGTCGTTACAGGCCATAAAACTTGAAGTGATGAACTCTAAATCAAGCTAAGGTTCGACAGCCGAGAAGAAAAAAAATGAAATAGCCAGCCAAGGTCAATAAGTTGACGGGTAGAACAAAAGTCATTTGATGCTTCAAGTGCTTCCCCCCTCCTAAGTCATGGTGCCCACTTTCAGGTGAATACCACGAATCAGTACATTGAAAGTAAAGATGTAGAACTGTCTATTGAGTCATCTGTGGTATCGTCCAGTAGCACAAGAAAAATTGTGCTTGCAATAAAATTTATGAAAACATGAGGGCTAGATTCTGTACAACGATAATTTCTCCCACCCTCAGCGCTGGTGGTTTTTCGCACGCAAAATCACTGTTACTCTTAAACACTCTCAAATATTACCCGTTCGTTATACATTGCCCCCCAAGCCTGTTTTACTTTAATAATAATAATAATAATAATAATAATAATATAATAATAATAATAATAATAATAATAATAATAATAATAATAAATAATAATAATATATTATATTATTATTATTATTATTATTATTATTATTATTATTATTATATTATTATTATTATTATTATTATTATTATTATTATTATTATTATTATTATTATTATTAAAATACTGACTTGTGCTCTACGACCACCATTTTCAGGATATGACTACAACAAAACTACTTACCTTACATTGGAATCGGTGAGATGTGTACCTTTGTTTTACCAGACTGTGGACATTGAGAAACGTGCAAATGACAAAACGGGCGTCATCACTGATGCCCGAGTCGTCGCCAAAGCTGATTCTGTCAGTAAGCTCTCAGTCGCCTGCAGGGGGGTAGCTAGATTTCCTTTTTTTTTGGGGGGGGGGGGGGTTCAATTATACTTTGTGTATGGTCCTGCGTGCATTTGTATATGTGCGTGTATACACGTGTAGCATTGAAATAAAAAAAAATAATGGGGGATGGTCTTTTACCGAAACTGTTTTAAGCACTAGCGAGGTCATCTGGTAGAACCTCTGCTTGCCACTCAAAAAGCTTGTATTTGATTCTAAGTCGAATCAAATAGATTTTCAATTTTATGCATTTGCCCCAATCTAGCTTTCCAGTTCACTGACAGCGATGATTCGTCGTGTTCAAACAAAGACGTCAACACGCACACAGATATAGTTGTACAAATCAAATTATTCCCGCGAGCATTAGCACAAGACTGGCGGAGTGAGGTGTGTGCGCCGCAAAAGCGGGTACAAACCAATTTGGTCCTATCACAGCATATCCATATAGGGAGGGTGTCTCAGCTTTCTTTAGCTACAAGCTAAAGACATGTCGACACACGCAATCACGACGCGACCAAATGCATGTTGCTGAGCGTTGCCTGGGGTTATTCAGATTATTGTTTGTGTTCTAAAATATTGTTTAATTAGATGTGTTCATTGTCTAACTTTTGAAGGTATGAAGATGGATGAAAAATTTCAAAGAGAAAGTTGTAGATAAGTCTGTAAAACATCCGATATACAGTTTCGAGCTTTGTTTGTGTTAACTATAAGTGTTTTTTGCTAACTACAAATGTCCGCGAAATACAAAAAAAAGTACCACGTGAAAACAGAGTGCGCGCGATTATTCTAGTGCTTCCTCACGGTCTGCGTACGAATGACCATAGCATTCGCCCGATTCTACTGTCTCGACAGGGCCGCAACGATGGTGGGTGGCTTAGCGATGAACACGTTTTGCTATCGGTCACAAAAGCGGTAAATGCTGTGACTGCTTATCACTGTCATGAACCGGGATGAGGGAAGCGTGTCATTCGCGCGCGGAACGTGAAAGAGCACCAGAATCAAATGCGCGCGTAGGCACGCCAGTGGGTTTGTCACGTGGCATATTTTCTATTTCGCAGGCATTTGTAGTTACCAGAAAACACTAATAATTAACAGATATAAAGCCCAAAACGGTCAAATCAGACGTTTTGCGAATCGATTCACAACCTCATAAATGAAATTTATTCATCCATCTTCGTTTCATGCAAAGTAAGTTAAATAAACACATCTAATTAAACGATATTTTAGAAAACAAAAAGTTTGTCTGAATAACTTCCGGCAACGGTCAGCAACATGCATTTGGTGGCGTTGTAATTGCGTGTGCCGGCATATGTTTAAACTCTGGCAAAAACTACCTGGGGCACCCTGTGTAGTATAGTACAGCAAGGAGCTTTTAAAGAGAACTGAAGGTGATGTTAGGTTTAGCAGAGAACGAAGATGGAGGGCAGTGAGTAAACTATTTCATATCTTTATACAGTATAAGAATTAACAAGGGGATGGGAGAATGAATCATGGCCGTAGTGGCCGCATTTTCGTTGGAAGGAGAAATGCTCGAGACCAGTGGGCCTAGACTTAGGTACACGTTAATGAACGACAGCTGGTCGAAACGTCCGTAGCCCTCTACTACGGCATCTCTCAAGATCATATCGTAGTTTTGGGGTGTTACAACTGCACAATTATTATCGGAGTTACGTGCCAAACCCCCTGTAGTTCCACAAATAGAACACCTGTATTTGCCTCACTGGAACCTTATGTAGTGAAGAAAGTGTAGCTGTGCTTTTCAAGGGACTAGATGGTGTTAAATCGGATTTTAATAGGAGCAATGAAGTTAGGGGGACCGATGAGGCCTATACAGTGCTACAGAATGGGCACGTCCTTTTCTATCATGGCTTAGCTGACACAAAAGAACTAGGTGTGGGTTTTCCTCATCCACATAAACATAGCTGGTAACATAAAGGAATCATCATTATCATCATCAGCCTGACTACGTCCCCTGCAGGACAAAGACCTTTCCTATGTTCCTCCAGTCAACTCGGTCCTGTGCTTGCTACTGCCAATTTATTACCGCAAACAGTCTCATATCATCGGCCCACCTAACTTTCTGTCTCCCCTTCGTGCGTTTGTCTTCTCTGGGAATCCCGTCAGTTAC